GTTTTATTGGGGTCCAGGATTTGACAGTGCCTCTCACAGTGTCGCTGTGAACAAAATAGATTATGAGGGCTGAATGCTGATTTCCATACTGGTTGAATAGTTGTCCCTAAGACATGTTGATTGATGAACATGTGTCAACTGGGAAGTCCCCAGTACTGGGTCATGAGAGGCTTGTCCATTTCCTTAAAGAACCATATGATGTGTCTGTCTTCTTTGACATTTTATCCTTAGATACATGAAGACTTAGAAGGCATGATTAGCAAATTGATAGATGGAGCAAAGCTAGATGGGAGAGCTCATATGTTGGGTGACAAAGAGGATTAAAAAAGAGTCTGGGCAGACCAGAACAATGGACTGAATCTAACAAGATAGAAAGTAGGAGGGATAAATCAAAGTCCTGCCTTTAGTTCAAAAAATGAACTACAAGAGGGCTGGATGAGGGAGGCTCAATGCAATAGCAGCTTATGTGTGAAAGTCCTGGGGTTCTCATTGTCTGTTAGCCTGATATAAGTCAAGAGAATGACACAGATTCTCTTAAAGTGCAGGACACCTTAGGTTGCATTGATAGAAGCATTATGCCCAGACTTTAGTCATTCGCTCAGCAAGTGTCTGTTGAATGCTTACTGTATGCTGGGCATTGTGCTGGGTGCTGGGGAGAGAACAGTGAACAAGACAGACAAACCCTACCCTCATGCAGCTGACATTTAGGGATGTAATTACCCTGAGTTCTGTGCTAATTGTCTCTGACAGCCTCTTCCTTCTGTCTATAGGCAACCAAATGGTAAGGGCTTTAGAGACTATGTGATATGGGGAATGGTCCAAGGAACTAGGAATGATGGAATTTAAGGAATCTTAAAAACTATGAAGGATCATCCCCTCTAATGAATGCTACATATTTCAGAGGGAGAGGGGAACCAGCTGCTAAGAAAAGATGTTTGATGTTTGTGGAGCTCTGGGCAAGGCGTTAACTCACTCTTCCCCTTAATGCTCCTGACAACTCTGTAAGATAAACAGTATTTCCCCCTTTCACAAATGAGAGCACAAATGCTTGGAGAGGTTCCTGTAACTTGGATGTGCTCATAATGCTGGCAAGTGGCTAAGATGGGATATGAATCTCATCTGTCTGAATTTGCAGCCCAGTGTTCTTTCCCTGATGGAGATTTAGCCTTAATTTAAAGGAGATGTTCCCATGCCCTTCAGCTGTACATAGGTGGACCAGCGTGCTTCCCTTCTTGGGAGTGTTTTACCAGAAGCTGGGGAACAGTGTCCTGAGATATCCCATAAGGGGCTTCTCTGTGGGTGTTCATGAGGTGGACAGGGCAGGGAAAGGCAGGTTGGGTGTGCAGGCTCCATGCCTTCATCTCTGGCTTCATCTGCTACATTCTAGCTTCCCTGGACCCTGGGAGTTCCTCCAACAGGCCATCTTCATTCCCAGTCTGGGGCCTTTTCACACATCAACCATCCTCTTTGCACACCGAAACTTTTGCCCATCTTTCTGGTTTTAACCCAAACCACCCTGGATTAGGTGCCCCTTATAGAGCATCACCTGACCTCTTCCTAGGAGCACTGACCCCTCTGCTGTTGAGTCCTGCTTGGTAAACTGGAGGTTCCCCAAGGACAGGGACCAGGACTGGGCAGGATCAGTCCTATAGTCTGCTCTGTCCTCACTGTCTAGCACACAATATGTGCATGCATGCTCAGTTGTGTCTGACTCTTTGCGATCCCATGGACTATTGCCCACCAGGCTTCTCTGTCCATGGGATTTTCCAGGCAAGAATCCTGGAGTGGGTTGCCATTTCCTCCTCCAGGAGATCTTCCTGACCCAGGGATCAAACCTGTGTCTTCTGTGGCTCCTGAGTTGGCAGGCAGATAGGATTTATGACATCTCCTAAGATCTGGTGATTATTTTGAAGCCATGGGAACAGCCAACATCCTTTGGGTTTTCCATCTGGCCTCTGTCTTCTCAGCGCTCGGTGGGCCTGGCACTGGGTTGGGTGGGTTCCATGTATGCTGTGCTGAGGAAATACAGCAGCCACTGGTCCCAGCCCTGCAGTCTTCCCCGTGGTGCTAGAATCCAGGCGAGGTGATGGTTGTGGAGCTGGGTCTGGTAGAGGACGGGTAGTGAGCTACGCCAGTGACCTCAGTGATTCTCTGGGCCTCTGTAGATTCTGGGCTGTCTGACACATTTCCTCTGCCTTGCAGAGTGTCCTGAGCCTGGACCTCTCTGGACATGGGAGCTGCACCTCACATTACTCTGTCCTTCTGTGTGATCCTGGCTTGACTTCCTGACCAGCAGGCGGCACGGAGAGAAGGGGGTTAACCATGAGCCTGATCCATGGGGGAATGAAGGATGATGTCAGCCAGACTGCCCAGCAGAGACAAAAGCCTCTAATTGCTCTTTTCCTTCTTGTCAAAAGGCTGACTCCATAGTTACTATAATAAAGGCCAGTGGGTGGGGAAGAGGCCTACTAATGAGGGAGCCAGTGTTTGGTGGTGAGAAGTGGGAGCTGAGATATAGTCCAGAGGGTCAGGAGATATGGTCCCCAAAAGGAAGATGGAGAAAGGCCATTGGATCATGTGACTTGGGCTTGTAGGACATAGCCCGCCAGACTCGTGGGCAAGTTGATCTGAAATGCCTCATTGTGTGAGCAACTGATCCCTTTTGTTTGGGGACAGACTCAGACCCTCACTGGGGAAGGATCTGTGGGAAGAAACCGGGCCTTGGTGCTTGTATTATTCTATTAAGAAGCAGAGCTCCTTTGTGGGGCAGGTTTGAGAAGCTGTTCTGTTTGTAGGAGATGGCCCTGGAGGCCAGGTCACTCTCTCTTCTCTTAGAAACGTATTGTGAGTGATTCACTCGAGCAGTTCTCTTTCTAGAAACTGCCTTAGAATCTGAGGCTTCCAGGAGCAGGAGGGAAGTCCGTTTCTCCATCCATTGGTAGTCAGGTCTTGTTTTCTGGTGTAATCCAAAGGAACAGGTGTCCTTGTCAGCCTACAGTCCCCGAGGCAAGGAGACTCCACCACCTCCAGGCACCAGCAGGTCCAGGATCTTGGGGACACCATCACACGCCTGTGCACAAGCTGCCCGGTCCCGTTCCCCCCGCGGGGGACCCACATGGAGCCATCCAGCTTCCTCACCCCCCCACCATTTCTCTCCACACCTGCACTGTTGCCCTCTGTCCTCGGCCCTTGTAAACCTTACCTCTGGCCTCGGCAGGAATGCCTCCTGACTTCCTCCTGTTCTCTGAGTGCCTACAGAGCTCACTCTGGACACCCAATGTTTGCGTCATCTCGAAGCCGACCTGGATGTTGGAGCCACTGGCTTGGGGTTGGAGCCTGGTCTGCTCCCCTAGATGGTGGTCCCATCAGAGGCTCTGCTTCTGTCATTGTGGGTGCACTCCGTACTGATAACTTAGTCTTCAGGAAGCACTTGCTGCCCTGAATTCAGCTGGATTCTGATCCTCACCAGAAAACCAGGTTTTTCCCTTTGAGTCGTCAGAGTGGCCTATCTTTTTGACCAAATGGGTTGAAACAACATTAAGTCCTTATTAAATGCCCTGGAGCCTTAGTGCTCAGAGCCTGCGCAGAAGAGGTAGACGTGGTGTCATTTCAGAAGCAAGGCCATTGAAGACAGGGCCGGGGTGGGGCCAGGGCGGGGTGAGGTCTGTGAGGAAGGGGTTCTGCAGTCAGGCAGCTTTGGAAACTGTATGAGCCAAGTTAAACGGGTCTGTCTACAGCTGCGCCATGTTGCTTCCCACACTGAGGTCACCTGCAGTCACTTTCAAGGGAATCCAATCCCAGAACTGGGGTTTATGGCTCACTGCTGGGGAACCCCCATGTGCGCAGGGCTCCACTGAGAGGACAGCAGGATCTACACCCTCCCGTGGGGTCCAGGCCCTGGGATGAGGGTCTCATCTGCTTGGTCCCTCCACCTGCTTCACAGGGTGCCCTCTGGCCATCCTGTCCTGGTGCATTCCTCAGGGGCCATGGTCTCTGCCTCTCCCAGGTCAGTCTCATCTTCCTGGCCCCCACCTGAAGCCTCTTTATCTTGTCTTCTGTGCCCTCTGCCGTTCCCCTTTCACCCGACCCCCTACCCTGGTCAGAACGCTCTGATTGATTATCCCCGGTTCTCCATCTCCACCCTGCTGCTCCCAGCCACCCATTCCATCCATGTTCAGTCTTGCATTATTTAAATCTAGAAAATGTTCTGGGCTTGAGATAAAAGAGGAGGAGACTCATTAAGATGGGCCTTATGTGTTTATTTCTAACGCTGGAACTTCAGAGAGCTTGCACCCTGATGCCAACGGCTCTTAAGTCAGCAGAGCAGCGGGGCCGTGGGAGGCCCGTGGGTGGAGGCGTGAGGCCTTGGCTGTGATGTCACTGCCGAGCCGGGCTCCGCCGCTGTTTCAGGGGGCACCGGAGACGGTTGGATGATCTGTATGCTGATCCCGGCTTTGCTGCTAACCACCCGGGTTCTCCCAGTGGATCCCCTCCTCTCCCTGGCCCTGCTGTCCTTGTCTGTGAGGTGAGGGCAGTGGCCCATGTGGCCTCTGGGGTCCTTTGGAGCACACATACTATGATGTGCCTCCCCGCCCCTTCATGGCTCCCAAGGGGACAAGAGTTAAAGACAGCAAATCACACTTGTTGACTTCTATGTATTTCAAATGCCATTTTATTTTTAAAAAAGCTTTATTTGGCTGCTCCAGGTCTTAGCTGCAGCATGCGGGATCTTTAGTTATGACATTCAAACTCTTAGTTGTGGTATGTGGGATCTAGTTCCCTGACCAGGGATCAAACTCCGGGCCCCCTTCATTGAGGGTGTGGAATCTTAGCCTCTGAACCACCAGAGAAGTCCCTTCAAACATGTTTTAAAAGTCACGAAGAACCAACGCATCACAAAATGGTTTCATTGTTTGAAATCAGTGAAATTTCATAGGAACTCTAGAACACTCAGAGCAGAGACTGTTTAAATCCTTTATATTTATATAGAGCTGTATTTCCAAAATGCCTGCATGGTATGTTCCTACTTGACCTTTATGATCTAGTTCCAGCAGGTGAGTTGAAGAAAGAGAGTATTCCTGTTCACAGATAGGGAGACTGATGCTCAGAGAGGCTAAATGCCTTCCCCTAAGGGGCTGAGGGGCATGGGGACAGAGCTGGACTTCACCTTCTGTTTCCTAGACACCCCCTGCCCAAGCCCTTGGGTTTCACATGGTCAAATGGAGCCCATCTTCTGTCCCATGTCTTGTCTCCCTCCTGCCCATCCTCACTCAGCCTCATCCAGGTCAGAAATCTGGGGACCATCCTTGTTTTTGTGACTATGTTACTCTTCTAAGTGAAGTGAAAGTCACTCAGTCTTGTCTGACTCTTTGCGGCCCCATGGACTATACAGTCCATGGAATTCTCCAGACAAGCATACTGGAGTGGGTAGCTTTTCCCTCCTCCAGGATATCTTCCCAACCCAGGGATCGATCCCAGGTCTCCCGCACTGCAGGCAGATTCTTTACTAGCTGAGCCAGCAGGGAAGCCCTATGCTTCTAAGGATTTCCCTAATTCTTCCCCCTTCTCTCTACCCCAGAGACAGCTTCATCCTCTCTCATCTGCACTGGAATTTTGCCGTAGCTTTGTAACTGGTCTCTCTGCCCCCAGTCTTTCTTCCTCAAATCCATCTCTGAAAATTTTAAACTGTCTACATCCCGCCTCTTACCCGCGCCACCACCCCCCAACCCCAGTTTGAAGCCCTTGAGTGGTACTCATTATTTGTTGGATAAAGTCTATGTTTTCTAAGCATGGTGTCTGGGAACTACTGACTTTATCTTTCAAATATATCTGCCCTGTACCTTATATTTTTTAATAATCCTGGGCCAATAATCATTCTCCAAATGAGCCAAAAGATTTCCCACCTCCATGGTTTTGTTTGTGTTGTTTTCTCTGTCCAGATCAATCACTTGCAGCCTTATTCTTTTCTGGGCTGATTCCTGGACCTTGTCTTCCAAGATTCAGCCCCCATGAATGATTCAGCCCCTACTCGTCTGTGGCTGGATTAGGTGCCTCTCTTCCTTGTTTGTCAATCCCATAACTTCCTCCATCGTGTTGTTAACATGGCATCTTCATGAGAAGACTTTAAATGATTGAGATCAGGAACCACATCGTACTCATTTTTATAGCTTCAGTGCCCCTACCAAAAAGCAGTAAAAAGTATATATTTGGTGTGGGCTTTAGAGAAAATGTCATCTTTGGTTTTATTCTCAGAGTAGTGGCGGGAAGCAAAGTATCTAAGGACGTAGGGTGTCCTAAAAAAGAGGAAGTACTTTCTATGGATCCCAGAGGTCTTTTCCTAAATGCTTCACTGAGAGTCAAGGTCAGCCAAGGTCAGCATCTGCTCAACAGCTTCTCTGGCCCTGAGTTCAAGGTTGCAGACTCCACTTTCCAAAGGGAGTTGTTTCTGTGGCCCAGGGAGAACCTCTATCCAAAGCCACAAATGTTCCCTGGGCAGCCACCTTGGAGATCTATGTTGTATGAGGGAGAGATAGTGAACGTTATGGAAAGACAAGTGCAAACCCATCCTTTCTACTGGGGAGGACTCACATCAAACTCCAGGAGTCCCTCAGTATCACTGTCTCTTTCCAAGCTATGGTGGTGAAGGAAGGGGACAGAGGGTAAGAGCCATGTCTGGGAAGCGTGTATGTGAGTGTGTGTGTGTGACACGCTTGTTTTCTCTGCAACGTAGGCAGAAGAAATCAGTGTCGGGACAGAGTCCAACAGCAGACAAGGTCTCCCTGGAGTAGCAATCAGCTTTCCCTCCCAGGAGGGCACCTCATCCCTGTATATCCAGGGGCATAACAAAACAATCACTGCTTCCCACCGTTTTCATCTTTTATTCAATCATTTAATTATTTCTCAGGTCTGGGTGGCATGGCCACCACCCTGTTTTAACTCTGAATATAATTATCCACCCTGTTCCCCCTGACCTTGCCTCCTGTTTAGAGCTCTTAACTGGACCAAATTTTTCCCCCATCTTCTTGCTGTGGGGATAAAAAGGACCATGGGCCTCTAATCACTGCCTGGGGCCTCGGAGCAGCCGGCCATAAAGTGCAATATCTGCTCGTTTATTCCTGTTCATTCAATTGACTCCAAATTGCTCTGAATGAATTCTTGGGCTCCGAAGAAGATGTGCGGGCTTATTTTCATTAGCGTGGACCCTGAGCAGAGAGAGGGGGACAAAAGAGGAAAAGAGAAGATTTTGTGGCCAATTTTATTTGTTTCTCACCCCTTTGTATGTTCTCCCACCCCTCTGCATAGCATCCCTCACTTCCCAGTGCAGGAAACAGGCCACTCTAGGGGCCTGAATCTTCCACAGAGGCCCTGGATCTTATTGGTATAGACCACTCACACCCATTAAATCTATGACTTAATGAGTCCATGATGGGTAGGAGAGCTAAACCTGTGTTCCTTCCTGTTTGTTCTTCCGGCAGAGTTGTGCTTAAAAGAAGAGATGCTCTATCTAACCATCTTTTTATTTCTCCAGGGAGGAACTGGAGAAGCTTGGTCAGGGGAGACATGGTCCCAGTGTGGTCATTTAAGCAGGACTGCACCTTGACCCTCAGACATTAATAATTTTCCCTCCTCTTACCATCAGCATTATCTTCAAGGGACTGACTCATCTTAGCACCCTTGGGCTGAAAGAAAGCCTTTGAAATCAAGGCAACTGATTTCCCTGCCCTGTGTCCTTCATTGAGTTTCTACCTTACTGCTTTTACAGCCTGGAAGTTCTCAGGGATGTCTGATCTGAATCTTCCTTATATAAGAGAAGCCTATTTCTTTTTGGGTTGTCTTTGCCTGACCATCTCTGTCTATAACTCTTTATAATCTTGAAGTTATTTATAGAAGTCTGTTTCACTTCCCTTGGTCTTCTGTTCTCTAGGCTATGTTATTCCAACTCCAAGAGTCATAGAATCTCACAACTTAAGAGTCAGAAGCTTCCTTTTACTCAGTTCTCCTCAGCTTGGCTCTATTGCTCACTCATATGAGGGACTTCCTTGAGGTCCTGCCCAATTTCTTGGCAAGGCTTTGCAAATATGGGTAGTGAGCTTCTATTTCTAATGGCCCATCAGTTCTGGAGCCTGAGCTGAATACTTTAAAGAGGGGTTCTTGTTCTCTCAAGCTTTCCTTCTGGAACTGTAGGGTAGGCAAATATTCACCAGACTTCATTTTTTTTTTTTCCTTTAGAATAGGGTAGAGGAGATGGGTTCGGTGGAAGTATGGGTTTTCAGGAGCCAGTGGCTCCAATTTAGCTTCATGAAGGAGGGCTTCCCTGAGGAGGTGGGGCTGTGGTGGAAAGAATACTGTTTGTATCCAGGATGCTTGGTTCTGCGTCCAGTTCTCTCCAGTCTAGCTGGCTGGCCGTGGGCACATCACTCTACTTCTCTGGGTCTCAGTGACTTTGTCTATACTATGAGGAAATCAGAGCAAATGAATCCTGAAACCCTCTCTAGTTCTGGCATTTGTGAGTGAGGAGCCTTGTAGAGGAATGCTGAGAGCAGGGTGTGGACTGGGTGGTAGATAATGTGGGATAAAGGACTGAGGTGACCCCGGACAGTGCTGTCGAAAGAATGTGGACAGATGGGGCTCCAGTGAGACAACTGAAAGTGATGCTGGGGCAAGCTGAGACAGGTGGTGTCAATTTCAGAAGCTGATATGTGATGTGTGTGTGTGTGGGGGGGTGGTCAGGCCCACGTGTGCTGAGTTAGTGTGAACCCCCTCTTTGTTCTTCTAGAAGGTGCAGTCCACTTCCGCAGCGCTGTTCATAGTGCTGACCTCCAAATGGTGACTATCCTATGCCGACAGCTCACTGTTGAAGAAGGTTGTTCAAGACCATCTAGATAAGCTGGAGTCCCTTGCGTTTTGCAGGGTTCCTCTCCATCTGGTCAGCCAGCAGGGGAAGAAACCTGTCTAAGGACTGAGTTTGTCTTGCAGGTAGATAGCAAAACCTCATCAGATCCAAACCAACTCTTTATAACAGAAGGATCCAACAGCTAGTATTTTCTGCTATGTTTTCACTCCTAATGACATAGAAATGTTGTACTAGATGCAGGAGCTGGAGTGATTTGAAGAAGGATGAACACTTTATTTTCTGTGTCTGTAAAAACATTTTCCCCTAAATTTCTTTGACATGGTTGGATGTGTTCATGTCTTGGACCCTGGCACGAAGAGTGTCCACTGCAGAAGTCACCTTTCTGCCTCCAACTAACCAGGAAATGTATCTTTTTTTCTAGTGATGGAGGCAGGAGCAGGCTTAGAGCCCTGCAGCTTACCAGATAGTGCTGGGCGGAGCTGCAAATCTGAAACCTCCCCCATGGTCTAATCAGGTGAGAGATGAGGTTGACTCATGACTGTTTCCTGGAGCTGTAGATTTGCTCACAGCTGAGCCAGATCTGCCTAGCACGCCAGGAACAGGGGCTGGTCGGAGGGCTGAGGATGGCATTCCTGTTCCCAGCTCTAAGTAGAATGCTCCGGGTATCAGAGCTCAGGACTCTTAGGGAAGCTTCTTTGTCTGCATCCTCAATTCTACTTGCCTTGTGTCTCTCTGGGCACCTCTTGCCATCTGCCAGCTCCCCACCTCATGGTTGATAATACCATCTCCAATTTACTTCTTGCCCTTTGTACATGATTACTTTCTTCATGGTATCTCTATGAGATGGTCATTGTTATCTATTTTACAGAAAAGTATGCTGAAGACCAGGAAATGTTGTCATTTGTCCAGTTCTCACAGAGCAAATAGTAGAGCTAGGACTGAAAGTCCATTTTGTCTGATTCCAAAGCCTATGTCTTTACCAACCACAGTGTAGCAAAGGTAGGTACCTACATTACAAGAGATCGAAGATGAATATCCTTCTATAGATTGCTGGTATCCAGACTTGGGGCTCTCACTGACCCAAATGCTCAGCTTCTCTAAGTGATTTTCCCTTCGAAGACAATTTCCCATCCATTCTGGCAAAGTCAAGTGGTCATTGAGAAAGATCTGGACCACAGATCCCGGAGACCTTGAATCTAG